GGCAAACTGCCAGCCTTAATACAGAAGAATTGTTTGTTAACCAAATCTGGCAATGGCCAAAAACGCTGCAGACCACAGGTTCGAAAGAATGCAGTTTCTGTTACAGATCCAGAAACATCTCTCCAAACATTACTCCCGAGTTTCTCTGCAGAAAGAAAACCGAAGATCAGCTGGCTGGGATTCCCTTATGGCAGACTCCCAAACAGTGAAATCATCACTTTTTTGGCAGGTGCTTGAGGTGAACAGCAGTGCACCACAGAAACGTTTTAATATGTGGCTTCTGGCAAAAGCACAGTTTGAACCTGAGCCAAGCCACTCAATGGAGTCCACACAATCTCCTCCCAACTCTCAGAATGGTATTCAGAAGCAGTGAACTTTTTAAGGCAGTGTGTGTGTCTATGAATGCAGCACACAAAGGTCCAAAAAGGGGGATGTGTATCATGATGTGACGCATAACGCCAACTTGTTTTCTTATCTCACTGTTTGTTTGTATAGCATTTTTGTTTCAAGGTTGCTTTCTGTTTCACTTGTGTAAAGTGTTGCCCAACAGCCCTGTGCTAAAATGGCACACCGAGACATGCATATGGATTAATCTAAAAACAGAGCAGTTCCTTCCTTGAGCTGCAACACTAGATATGTGATCCCTCTCAACACTACCTAGTAACACGCCAAGCTGAAACCAGTTTGGCCAGCTCAGAGCAGAGTTTGCCAACCTAGAAACCTGCATATAAGATGATGGCTGATATGGTTGCTTCATTATGATCACAAGTGTGACAGGATGCAGGGCCTCATTCCTACATACCTCATCTTATCAGTTCAAACCCCACACCCAATTATTTCACATAGAAACAACCAAAGAACTTACTAAACAGGACTTACAAAACATCACATATGCAGGTAACCAACACCCACATAGGATACATAGGATATGTAGTGCACACAATAGTGACTGATAAGATTTCGTATTTGTCGTGCTTGCATATAAACGCTGAAGAAAGGTGTGATAAGGAATTAGAACAAAATTTTGAATTGTATCATGAAATTTCCAACATGTCGTGCGAAACGGCCCCAAACGACTAACGAGTTCCTCTCCTGGTGCCGTCCCTTCTGTTTGTTGTACTGTCATCTTTATAAAATACCCCTATGTGTGTCATGCAAATATGCAGACAAATAGACTCTTTACGCTACAACGGCCTCTAATGTAGCCACATGATGGGTTACATTTGCTAATGTAGAATCACGCCGTCTGGGTGGCTAGCAGAGCGAAAACTGACCCACATTAATAGAAATTCACTAGACTTTCATCTTCATTGTGCACTTCCTGTGAACGAGTTTTAGACAATACAATCTCTGTAGCCACATATAGTATATCACTGATCAACTAATCATCTCTTTCAAACCAATACATGACATTGTGCCTAAAATCACCCACCAGCAAACAGTAACAGTATTAGTTATTCCATATATATATATATAACATGTATAGACCATTTCACAAGATGTAAACAACACTGGTCCAGAAGCACTTCCTGTTTCAGTTTTTTAACACTACATAAAAGCTGGGATAAAATACAACCAACAGAACATTTAAAACTGAATCAAAAAGTTAAACAAACATCTTTAAGATGTTTTCTTTACATGTGAAATAAAGAAAACAATTACAAACTGAAACAGGAAGTGCTTCTGGACCAGTGTTGTTTACATCTTGTGAAATGGTCTATAACAATGTAATATGTTAACATGTATAACAGTGAGATAAAAACACCCTCTTTCCAAATTGAAAAGTTTTCCAATTTGTCCAAAGATTGTAATGCAATGCCACAAACAACATAAAGATAATTGTAACATGCACTTTCACTTCTGTTGCACTTTTGAGTGCCCAAATATTAGCAAAAAACCAACACACACTTCTCATTTATCAGTCCAGAATCAAATTCTATGGAGTCAACTGTCTTGTCCAGATTAATAATAGAAATTGATATAAATGTAAACATTGTGCATTGAGGAGTTAATTTTTACAAATCACTATTGACTTCGATAAAATACATATTCCCTCTAAATCAACTACAGTGGGGCCAAACAGTATTTAGTCAGCCACTGACTGTGTTCTTCTACTTAGAATAATGAGAGAGGTCTGTAATTGTACACTTCAACTATGAGAGACAAAATGAGAAAAAAAATCCAGGAAATCGCATTGTAGGATTTTTAAAGAATTTATTTGTAAATTATGGTGGAAAATAAGTATTTGGTCACCCACAAACCAGCAAGATTTCTGGCTCTCGCAGACCTGTAACTACTTCTTTAAGAAGCTCTCCTGTCCACCACTCGTTACTTGTATTATTGGCACCTGTTTGAACCCGTTATCTGTATAAAAGACACCTGTCCACAGCCTCAAACAGTCACACTCCAAACTCAGCCATGACCAAAGAGCTGTCGAAGTACACCAGGAAGAAATTTGGAGACCTGCACCAGGCTGGGAAGAGTGAATCTACAACAGGCAAGCAGCTTGGTGTGGAAAAATCAACTGTGGGAGCAATTGTGAAGAAAATGGAAGACATACAAGACCACTGATCATCTCCCTCTATCTGGGACTCCACGCAAGATCTCATCCCGTGGGGTCAAAATGATCATGAGAACGGTGAGCAAAAATCCCAGAACTACACGGAGGGACCTGATGAATGACCTGCAGAGAGCTGGGACCAAAGTAACAAAGGCTAACATAAGTAACACACTACACCGAGAGGGACTCAAATCCTGCAGTGCTGGGACCAAAGTAACAAAGGCTAACATAAGTAACACACTACACCGAGAGGGACTCAAATCCTGCAGTGCCAGACGTGTCCACCTGGTTAAGCCAGTACAGGTCCAGGCACATCTTAAGTTTGCCAGAGAGCATATGGCTGATCCAGAAGAGGATTGGGAGAATATCGTGTAGTCAAAATAGAACTTTTTGGTAAAAACTCAACTCGTCGTGTTTGAAGGAAGATGAATGAAGAGTTGCGTCCCAAGAACACCATAACTACTGTGAAGCATGGGGGAGGAAACATTATGCTTTGGGGAAGTTTTTCTGCAAAAAGGGACAGGAAAACTGATCCGTGTTGAGGGAAGAATGAATGGGGCCATGTATCGTGAGATTTTAAGCCAAAAACTCCTTCCATTAGTGATGAACGAAGTTGAAACGTGGCTGGATCTTCTAGCATGATAATGATCCCAAACACACTGCCCGGGCAACGAAGGACTGGCTCCGTAAAAAGCATTTTAAGGTCCTGGAGTGGCCTAGCAAGTCTCTAGACATCAACCCCATAGAAAATTTGTGGAGTCCATGTTGCCCAGCACCAGTCCCGAAACATCACTGCTCTAGATGAGATCTGCATGGAGGAATGGGCCAAAATTCCAGGTACAGTGCGTGCAAACCTGGTGAAGACTTACAGGAAACATTTGACCTCTGTCAACTTTTGTTATTGACCAAATACGTATTTTCCACCATAATTTACAAATAAATTCTTTAAAAATCCTACAATGTGATTTCCTGGGTTTTATTTCTTATTTTTTTCATTTTGTCTCTCATGGTTAAAGTGTACCTAAAATGAAAATTACAGACCTCTCATTCTAAGTGGGAGAACTTGCACAATCAGTGGCTGACTAAATATGTTTTGGACCCACTGTATATCAAGATTAGTATAAGTGGATAACGGATTAAATATTTATATATAGTCTACACAGGCAAATGGACTTTTCTGTTTATGTGGAACAGCAATCAAATTAAGATTATTAGAAATGGACAGAAATAAGACTATTTAAAGGTTTACTCTTGGGAGTAATAGATCTTTAGGGATCTAGAGCTTTGAGAGGTATTTATGCAATAAACAAACCAAACAAAAACCCAATGAGAGACCACAATCAATTAGTGCATACTGAGATAATGCTCAATTCAGATACAAGTCATATCTCACCCATATTATAATATAAATAATTATAATATAGCCTAAGCAGGTTATATATTATCCAATATCCATTATATTTCATAAGTAAGAGATAAACAACTGGTTCAATATTCATTACATATAATACAGACAAGTTTTTTTTCTGATATGAATTATCAGTTCTATTGATAAACGTTGATGGGTTTCTAAAAACAGCGGCCAACTATTTTACTAAAGTGTGCTCTAGCATTTCCTTTTGTCATTTATTGTAAATCGCATAATTATTCAAGCTTAAAGACAATTCTGAAGTGAGCAAAGTGCAAAATTTTATATTTAACATTTAGACATAACCTTAAAAAAACACATTTAGAATGTGAAACAACTTTAGAATGGAATAGAAGGGGATTAGGTTATTAGGCAACTCATATTACTAGTCTAATGATTTTATTATTGTGTCAACATTAAAGCAGAAATACAAAATAAAGAATAATAGATTATTAGCACTAAAAAATTAACAATAGACAATTATTGTTTGTCTTGTAAAATATTGTTCAGAGCATATGAACCAATTCTGTTTATAAGACTATTTGTTTAGCCTTTAAAAGGCACATTTTAATTAAAAAGAAAATCAATATAACTTACTACTTCCACATCCACAAGATCACAAATAATCGATTCAGATTTTACAAAAAAATCATTACACCAGTACTTTCCTCATCAAAACAGCATCCAAGAAGTTACAGTAAGAAATAGTAATTAAATAGAAATACGAGGATTTACACTCATATAAATCTCGTGTCTTGTCTGGTGGCAGTTAGCCTATGTGTTTGTTTCGTGTGTTTATTCTGATGGCAGTAGCTAACATACACTCGGCTATAACCAACTCTACTCTCATTAATACCAAACAAACACATCATTAGATGAGCTTTAAACAACAAAAGACAGAAAATAAAACGCATTAAACGTTCTGAAGTGTGATTATATGCCAGATAGGTACTATATTTCTCATATAACGTTAGCCAACACAAACAGGAAAATGTGGATGTGTGATGAGAGGAAAAAAGACACTTCACTTACCAGTTTAACTTCCGTTTATTTTTTTTCTTGGGAAGCGGAAGGAACATTCCTGATTTGCCCGTAAAAACAACACGCTCGCGACGCTCTCTTAATCAATATTTATTCACAGTCACGAACACACGAGAGCGTATAAAAATAATATGGACTGTGCTCTTACTAAATCACCTCTCTCTTCATCGTTTGATTTCGATATAGAGGTTAATTTGGCAGTAACATCATATGTGCGTCTAATCTGAGGCGGTGCCCCGCGGTCGGAGAGGCAAACCATTGGTTGACAAACAGCAATCAGATGCAAATTCCAAACCTCTGAATCAATGGGGCTGCCTTCCCCCATTCTATAGGAAACATCTACAAATGACTCAACACTAAATGACCTTTGCGCCAAAGATTTGTGTTTGGGCCTGGTGATATATTTGTGTTGATGTCCGAAACCCACTTAGAAAAGCAGACCCTTTAAACCCCCGTCCGTCTTCATCTGTGTGAGGTGTACATGTATACATGATATACACATATACGTACGCTATATGGTGCCATCTATACATTTGGCGACGTTCCCTGCGCGGGGCCCTTCCCTTTTATCGCAGACAGCAATAATGTCTATCTGCTCTCATGCAAACATAGCCTATAGCCTACGCTGTATCCGCGATAATCCTTGATAAACAACCTACACGGTTGCCAAGACCAAAATACTATTATGAACAAATGGAAAGCATAATGAATATTTAGGCATAAAGTGTTCACAAACACTCAATATTTCTTATGTGTAATAATCAGCTTAAAAGTGCACCAAAGACACAAGTCAGGTAATACACACATTTATATTTAATTTAGGGTTGGCCTATTATCTGAAATTATCTGATCAAGTGATTGAGATGGCATGTGTATCAGGCTAGGGCTAGGCTACAGGCCATTTCTGAGAATTGATATATGCACGTCTCATATTAAAGTGCAGAAACTTTTGCACTGCACAGTATATTGTTTCCACCTACTGGACAGAACGAGTATTCCATTTTCTTGACATTACAGTCGAGCGTCACGTGACCAAACCGGAAAACATATGAAAACAATAAAGTGGCCTCCAAAAATATTTGGACACTTAACCAACCTAGAGACTTATATGTTGTAACTTGCATTACAATATATCAAACCGTGGCATGCAGGCACACTTTTTTTTTTTTTATCAAATAAAACATTCCACAAAAATGACAAAACAAAATACGCTAACTGTTCATAATGAATACAGCATGTTATATACAGTACTATACACACACACAGAGAGAGAGAGAGAGAGAGAGAGAGAGAGAGAGATTAGATCAAAGGATGGAGTTCTACCCTAGTAACCTCCAGGCCTATTGCAGCACTTGCGTCAATTTTGAGTCACTGTTCATAGAATGGCCTATGTAAATAGTATGCAGATAATTTAAATATATCATTACGATATTTAAAATATATTTTTTAATTTTTTTATTTTCCATTGTTTGATAATAATTATACTTTTACTGTTATTTTAGTTTTTTGATCATTATTTGATGTTACCAGTTACTGTTCATTGTTCATATTTTTCACCAAACAGTGTGTGAAATATAGTGTGACAGTCTAGATTTAATTTAAAACACAAAAACAATCTGTGACTTATTTATTTGTTCTGTGGTTTAAGGGGTGTTTAAAAAGGACTTTTTGTTTAGCTCATCTTAACAGTCCACATATATTTTTAGAAGTTTAAATACCCAGAGTAAATTGCATTAAAATGGCACAAATGTCATAAGTTAAATTATGAAGAAGCATCTTGACTATTTATGATTTTGAGTCTTAACTGTTTGATTTTAAAAACGTATTAATGTATGCTGAATCAAAGCCAATGTTGTTTCAATTCATACTTTCATCAAGGCCTTACTGTCTGGGTTGAAAAACACTTTTTGCACATTTTCATACATCACAAGGCATCCTAATGAAATGATTCAGTCATCTGTGTTACCTGTGTTTGCTTTACTTATTTAAGTCCCCTCCTGTGGTTAAATAAAAACACTTCTGGCAAAGAACAAACTGAGAAATTCAAATTCCACTATCTCTAACAAATTATATCTAAGCTAAATAATAACATAAATTAAGCATGTAAAGAACAACAAATATTTTGTTTTTTTTTCCTCACAAACTTAGTTTTTTCTTTTGCTTTTACAGATACACTTAATAAGGTCCTATCTTGAAGCATTTTGGTTTGTCCTGTTGGATTTCTGTGTTTTCATGTAATCACAAGATGGTGCCTCAATTAGTAAAGCAAACTCAGGTAACAATACATGTGACACAGATGATGAGCTGACGAATGATACATGCATGCTATTCTATAGGATGAGTTAAGAGCAGTTTAATTTTGCTAATCTAATCGAACTTGTGAAGTGACAAGGACTTAAATCCACTACAAGAAAATAGCTCTTAGAAAATATTTACCCTATCCTCACCATAATTACTGATTAAAAATAGACATGTTAAAATAACCAGAGATACTTGAGGACTGTCTGTGATTGGAGGTTAGGACTGTTTTTAACAGGATAGACACCTTTATTTGACAGTTATGAGACAGGAAATCATGGGAGAGAGAGAGAGGATGTGACATGCAGCAAAGGAACGGGATTTGAACCATGGTCGGCTGGCCTTATCAAACCCCGCCGTCGCGCTCGCCACAGTTTTTTAACACTGCGGCAAATCAGACACGTCGGTAGAAAAATATCTTGTCTCCAACTTTTGTTCAACGGGTCTGTCACAGAGCTACCCTCAGTTCTTTGTGACCCCTTGTTAGCTCTTCCACAAAACACATGAACACATACTTGGTTTTTAAAGACTCTTTATTTACCTTAGTGTACCAGCAACAAGAGAGATGGATTGTCCACACAAATGTATTCACAACTGTGCTGTTGTGTCTCAGACTGGCCACCTGAACACTAACCCTGAGGACATTTAACGTTTGTTGCAGACTGTTGATTGTCACCTGGAGCAGCATACACGGTGGTGGCCATCTTGAATTGGGTAAAAGACTGGAATGGACTTTTCTTATGTTTTTATACCTGTGCTGTGTTGCATCATGGGAAGTGGGAGATACCAAGTATGGTGTTAATGGAAGGGGAATTGGGATGTTAATGTGGACTTCTTTTAATTATTGTTGAAATCTAGTGAAGTTGTGCTGTTATTTAACTTTGTGTGGTGAAGAAAATGGAGTTACTTGATCACATATTTTTAATTGATATTTATTAGCTGTTCATGATCTTTATTACTTCCCCATGTAATTATTGTTGAGAAATGGTTGCACCTAGGGATATAAATTCTCACAGAAAGAGGTGATCAGGAGGGTAAAGACTGTTGGTAGTGAATGCTGTGTCAACTGACTGCTGTGATTGAAGTAGTAGACCTGATGCAAGGCTGTTTTTTTGGTATATTGATTTTTTTTTTTTGATTTTTTCCTGCTGTGGCACCTGTGAGCACCTTGCACTTTACGAATTTGGGAGAACATAAATAAATATGAAAATGGCATTTAACGTCCTCCATGTGTTATTATGAAGAACTCTGGATGTCCTTGTGACAGGCTATAACCCTAACCTAGTCTCGCGTAGCCAGACCTTCAGACTGACGGCTGAAGGTCTGGAATTCATAGCAGATTTCTTTGGCCAAGGCCCGCCCATAAGGCCGTTTGACCGACATGTCAAACAACCAATTACAGTTCGTTTCGTTCAGCGTCACGTTTCGGGGCATGGAAATGTCCCCACAACAACAGACCGGCGTGCAACAAATCAGTCAGCACAGCAGCAGTCACCGGAGGCGCTCGTTAACAACGCTCCACGTTATTAAATTCACCCACGAACTCGCGCTCATGTCCATCGTATGCCCGCTTTGTCACACGGCCAGTTCAACCTCGTATAAATCAGGTTATGTGTGTAAATCACGTGCGCTTACTCTTAACAGACACACTCTTTCCCCGGCGCTGCTCGTGCGTCAGTTATGTTCATAAAGCGCTCCCCGTTCACAGTAACCGGCTCGTCTCATTCAAAACAGCCAGCTGTAACGTTAGCTGTCAGCGAGCCGCCGCACATTGAATACTCGCATGAGTCAGGCTGCGAATGTAAGTTACGTCCCCGCCCCAGCGCGCTCACGCTTACTAAATAAACGCCTCACCTCCGGCGCCGCGCAGTCGCTACATTCCCTTTAGCCTTTAGTTTAGCACATCTAGTGGATGCATAACGCAAACCCAGTCAAACGTTTGACTCTGCAGTATCTTATGGGCCTTATAATCCAGTGTGCGCCCTATATATGAATACTGAATCGGCCACTGAGATGTCAGCGTCTGTTGTTTCATGTTTGCCCACAAACGCGGCTGATATCCCCTTCGCAATTAAGTACTTCACTTGATCTTCCATAATAGATAGGAGGGGACATACAACTACGTTTAGCTGATCTTGATTAATGCTCATTGTCACTCATATAAACACAACAGTTTTTCTTCCGCAATCACACGTCTGCGCTTTGTTTCCCGGCGGACCGAAAATAAACGCGACACTGACGCCCCCCGGAAATCCGATAAAATTCAACCAATCAGATGACGACTTCGACATTCCTGAAGTGTTTCCAGTTAAGTGTACCATATGCATCAGACGTTTAGCCAACGTTCCGTGGGCGTGACGTCTGAGGCTGAGACTAACCCTAACCTAACTCTACACACTTATCCAATGACTTTAACCACAACCTGCACAACACTGTGGATTTACAACACTTTGTTGAAATGCTAACACACTGCTGTCAAAACTGTGAACCACTCATTCAAAAAAGAATAAATTTCAGCCTTGTGCCTTCCACACACTGCTGATTTTCAAACAATTTCAGCTGAAAGGCTGAAAACTTGTGGCCTAATGCTTGAGAGAGGCAGGGTTACAGTATGTACTTTTAGTGTCTACCTTTTTTTCCTCATTACTGTAATTCTGTAAATTACAGACTATTGAAGCAGACTGCTAATTTTCAGTTGTTATGTTCTAAAAATGTAAATAAATCAAATGAAAGAACGTCACTCTTTTCTTTAAAGAAAATATTACTTTGTATGAAGTCACTGAAATTGTTGAAACTGTAAAGATGAAAAGTTAGGATTTTCTGCATTGGTGTTTGATGCTACTGTTTTTCCTCTCAGTGTGTTCTGAGTGACAGTGTGTGTTATCTCAGTGGGGGTTGTGCATAGTGTTGTGCACACTGAGCCTGTTTTGAGTCGTGTGTTAAGAGTTGT